TTTTAGACAAAAACTTTCAAAGTCTCATTTTCTTAATTTGAAGTGGGTGCTGGATAAAACACATGAGGAAAGTCAGATTTTTTTGCCAACTGCAGTATAGTGGAAATCTTCTTGCATAATGAAGTGTTAACTAAGTCATGCTTTTGGAGAATGATTTAAAGTGTGATTCCAGCACGAAGAGACTCTGAAAAAAGCAGGGCACCATGGTGCCTCAGTAATTTCAGCATAGGATATGCTGAGTTTGCAAGGAAAAAAGGTGGGAATGTTTGGTTTGGGATTTTTTCCCCTTCCTAATTTCCAGCTGCCCAAACTCCTCCTCTGAGGTTTTTTCATTTCATGCATGATTAATGGAATAAATTATCATCAGACTAAGTTGCTAAATTGCTATGATTGACTATAGCTCAGCTGGTAGAAGAAGCGATTTTAAGCTGCACCATAGGCAAATGTGATGGGCAATAACTGATAAAGAAAATTCTTAACCACCTCACTAGGGCTCTTTTACAAAATAATATATTTTGAATCAGAATCTTTCAGAATAGCATAACAATGAGCTAAAACAAGCTTCTATTAAAAGATGCATGCTGTTCCAGTTACGGGATAACTCACTAGCAATTTTATGGATAAATTCCAGATTGTTCTATCAAACATCAGGAAAAAAACCCAGGAAATTGAGAAGCAGTCCGGTAAAACAGGAAAAGGAAGAAAGAATACACAAAAATGCCCTAAAGCAGGTAAATGTGAACAATCAACTGAAGCATAACCTAAAAGAGCAGAGGATTATGGACCACAGGCACTATCTGCCCCCCCACCCTGTTTAATTTGCAAAAGTGAAAAATTAAGAGGCAGCAGCCTCTTTTCCCTACAGAGATCACATTTAATTGTACTTACACTAAGAGACCATTATTTTGTCTAAATAGCTTTCTGCTCTTTCAACCAGAGGACTCTTAGGACTCTGGCTCTACCTGTGCCCTCCAAAGCTGCAGCAGAAGGAAACGGGTGGGGATTCTGGGGGAGAGGGCAGGAGTGGCCACTCCCAACGAAGGGACTAATATGAGACGATGAGAGGGGCTGGAAATTCACTGCGGTCCCTCTTATTACTAATGCTGGGAAGTGATCCATGCTGGCAATAGATTTTTCTTCATAATTTATGTGCTATGCCATGGTGTTTTGCTACAGTGGGATCCACACTATTCCAAGTATTTAATTAACGAGGACCCATAAAGGAAGAATTACATATCCATGCAAGAAAATAGGACAGCAGGGAGGTTTTCATGTGAGCCCGGGCTCTGAAGAAAATGTTGCCAATAAGGCATAAGGCTGCTTGCATTTGGACTTAGACAGTGCTGTAAATACTTTGAGTGAGTTAAATAATATAATTTTGAAACAAACTCAAAAGCAGAGAATTACATAGGCTGTAGATGTGCTGTAGAAAAGCATATCCTCACCATAAATGAACCCAGCGTGACAAAGTCCTCAGACCTTGATTTTTTTCTGCCTAAATTACACCTGAGCTGTTGACTAACGTCACTCCCAAAGAAATTCAGGTTTGACTAATCATTCCTTAATACCTGCTTGTTGTAGGCAAAAATAAAGTGTTATACATATCAAAACTAAATAATTTTTCCTAAATTAGAGTATCTTAATAAAAATTTAAGTGAATTTGCCATGGAAGTGGGCCATCAGGATCTGGCTGTGCCGAGGTACAGAGCTGGCTTGGCTTTTTTGCTATGCAAGTTATTTCTGGAGATATACCCTGCCTGTAAGATTTGCTAAACTAGAAGTGCAAAAACAGTTGTAGGAGTTATATGAGAAGGGGACAGGAGGACTTAAAACAAAGAGCTTGTGTTTTACTTTGCTTGTAAGGTAAAAACAAGGGGAAATTTGGGGATAATGTGTATTATTTATACTTTATGATAACTAAAATAAAAGGCAAGATACTTTTTTATATCTGGAAAGAATAATTTTCTTGATTCAGATGCTAAATAAAATGATGATAATTTCTCCCTCAAACATGGAGTACATAAGTTATACAGGAATACTGATTTTGTTGTGCAGTACATTCATAAATATTAGATAAAAAAAGAATCTCAGTTACAGAAAGCAACAAAAGCTGTTGCAGTCTCATGGGTTTTCCTTTTATTAAAATAAGTTAGTAGTCTTGCTTGGATTCTCTAAAATAATTTCTGTCCAGAAGTTAAACATATGTAAATAAATAGACTGAATAGATTTCCAAAGAAAGAAAGGCCCAACATTACTGTCAGATTTATGAAGAAAGTTCCTTGTTTTTATTTTAGTAGATGAAAAATATATTTTGAAAAAAGCACAGTTTATGTTGATTACTTGATCATAGTTTGTATGGTCAATGTATAAAAAAAAATGGTTTCTAGAAAAGAGATTGTTTTGGCAGGAACTGAAAATTTTCACTGATGGTTTAAAAAAAAAAAAGATACCACAAGATTACATTTCTTAGGAACATTTAAAAATATCTTTGACATGTAGCAATAAGAAAGTGTTATTGAAAGCTTGATCATTTAAAGAGAACTAACAGAAATCCATTTTGTTCAGACTGGATATCTGAAAGGACAAAACTGAACAAGAATTTCATGCCCCTTTTTTAAAAGAGAACAAAGTAATATACTGAACTGTTGATTGAGCTGTGCACTCTCAGTTCTCCTTGGCTTTAAAGGTGCCCTACTCTTTGTCTGCAGTGTGTGATAAGGGAAGTGACTTTTTTTTAAACCTGTGTAAAGATCTTTGGGACTGATTTGATTTTATTTGATTTGGAGAAGCTGAGAACAGGAAATTTCTGGCACTTCCATTGTCCTTATCTTGCATCATGATTATTAGCAAATGGTACTACAGAACCTCTTCATGTTGAGGAAACTCTTTGCAAAGGCCAGTAATTTTGGGTGGTATAGACAAGATCTCAAAACACTTAAGTAGTTTCATGGGAATGGACAAAGCTAGAGGGGAGGGCAGACTTGGCTTCCTCTATGTTTCCACAGATTTGCCAGGAGCTACATAACATCCTGGCTTCTGAAGTAGGAAATAATGTTTATTCCTAGGTGGGAGTTACAGCTCTTCATAAGGAGACAAACAGTTCCTTTTCTCACAAAGCCTTTCAGCTAGAAATAGAAACTAAATAGACCTTAGGATTTAAAGTGAGAACTTCTTTAGCCCTTAGTTATTATCTTTACACATATATTTTAAACCCAGTTCTAGTGTAGACATGTATTTCACAACCAGTTCTGACCACAGGAAATAATTTTGTCTGACATGGTGGATATGAAAACCACATTTCACAGCTTATCTTCACTTCTGTCTCCTGCCAGTCAGCAGGAGCTGTCATGGGCCAGTCTGGTAGGACAGTGGACAGGAATACCTCTGCCGCTTATAGCCTCTGGTGAAGCCAGTTTTATTTAGAGAAGTACCAAAGCCTAATGAAGCCCTTTACTCAGCACTGTTGATGCCGCACCTGGAGAACTGTGAAGGCCCAGGTGGCCAAGAAGGCCACTGGTATCCTGGCCTGCATCAGCAAGTGTGGCCAGAAGGACCAGGGCAGTGATTATCCCCCTGTGTTCGGTACTGCTGAGCCTGCACCCCAAATCCTGTGCTCAGTTCTGGATCCCTCACTACAAGAAGGACGTGAAGGTGCGGGAGTGAACCCAGAGAAAGGAAATGGAGTTTGGGAAGGGCCTGGAGCAGAATTCTGATAAGGGAGATAAGGGTGTTTAGTCTGCAGAAGAGGAGTCTCAGGGGAGCCCTTAGTGCTCTCTAAAACTACCTGAGAGGAAATTGTAGCCAGATAGGGGTTGGTCTCTTCTCCCAGGTAACAAATGACAGGACAAGAGGAAATTGCCTCCAGCTGAGCCAGGGGAGGTTGAGAATGGATAATTAGGAAAAATATGCTAGCTGAAAGGGTTGTCAAGCTGTGGAACAGGCTGTGTGGTTAAGTGGTGGAGTCACCATCCCTGGAAGCATGCATAACTTATATACAACCCATTTGCTTTCGCAGTTTAGATGCGGCAGTTGGGGAGATGGTCTAGTGGTGGGCTCGGCAGTGCTGGGTTAGCAGTTGGACTCGATGATCTTTAACTCCTAAAGGTGCTTTCTAAGCTGCAGGATTCCGTGACTGCATGCGAATCCCAGCACAGGGACCGGCATCAGGCACGCCCCCAAGGCCGTGCCGCAGTGCATCTGTGGTGCCACCAGGCGGCGCCAGCGAGGGCGGCTCTGCCTCCCCCGCTCCCCGCCGCGCGGGCGGGCGCTGCTGCGGTGCCGCGCTCCGGACACCAGGCGGCGCCAGCGAGCGCTGGGTGGGCGGCGCTGGGCGGGAGCGGCGCCGGCGCGGCCGCGCCGCGTATCCATCCCCGACCGCATCCCGGTGATCCACAGCCTCTGGATCGCCCTGCGCTCATTGGATCCTGGTGCTCCACAGCCTCTGGACTGCCCTGCACTCATCCCGCTGGGAGATCTGCGCTACTGCGGAGAACTAGCACGGACAGCTCGTGCCAGCACCCAGCGTGGGAGGTTAAATTACAGCTGACGCCGTTTCATCGCCCCCTCCGGAAAAGCTCCCTAGGCCAAGAGAAGAGGGGAAAGGAATGAAGCGCCTTGAGGCACAGGTTTCACGGTGGTCACATGGCTCAAGTACACTACAGGTACTTTTGCTGGACATCATTATGGGAAATAAATACAAACGCGTACATCCTGCTCTCTGAGGAGGAAGTACGCTGGGTTTTGTCCCACGTTAACAAGCTCCCGATAAAATGTACTCTGAGGCACTGGGGAGACCGTGCAGGAAGGCACCCTCCAACTATTCCATTCCTTCATCAAGGCAGACCAAGTGTTACAGTGTTGAAGGCAGGTCTTACCCGGCCATTACTCTGAGATACTTAAATCAGTTTACTGTTACCATCTTCATCCCTCTCCCAGTTAAGAAGTTGAAAACCACCCATTTTTCTAGAACTTTTTTTCCTATGTACAGATGGAGACACGATGTGCAGGTTTTGCCATGGCATTGCTGAGAGTGGGATATCCTGGGAACCCAGGTACCTGAACTACTCCTGCTTGCAGTCGCCACCCTGTGGGTTTCCCCTCAGAAACCAAACTGAAGCAGGGAATTTAAAATGTGTTTTCCAGTTATTAGCTCCTGTGACACTGTGCAGACAATCCCTATGACTGCTGCTGATGGGGGAAACCACAGCCCTGGCCAGACACAGGACACAACAGCAAAGATCTCATCTGTCACCCACAGGCTGCAGAGTCTCAGTGGGACTTGGCTGGTACTTGTGCTTTGTGCTCTTCTTCTTCATGGAGCTGGCACTCACAGCGGCTTTTCAAGGAAAGGGAAATACTCACAAATATGAATCAGTGCAGTAGGAATTGCAATGCTGCTTCTTTAACTGGCATGAGGGTCATGTTTCGTGATTTATTTCTGTACCAGAGGCCAAGGTTATATTTAAAGTGCCCTCTGTATGCTTGCTGGGATTGAGGCAGGCAGATGAGCAGACACAGGTCTCAGAAGAACTGCTGATTTCAGAGTTGGTCCTGAGGATGAGCAGCAAGATAGAAAAACAATTTTGTCAGTGAGCAATGCATTTACACAGATATATTGCATTTCCAATAGAGCAGGTGATGACTGCCCTGTGCAGACATGGCCACAAGGGAATAACTGTGTGGGGAGATAGATTTTTGCCCGTGCAATGATTTGGGGAAAGGGCATTAGAATAACTTTGCAGCTCACCTGCCATCTCACCCCCAGCTTTTACTGTTGCCCAAGATGTCTATGAGAATTTTGGTAGGAAGAAACATGATGAAAAGCCATTGTGGTCCTGCATTTGTAATTCTGTGTCATGGTTTAATCCCAGCCAGTACTTCAGTCCCACAAAGCCACTCAATCACTCCTTTTCCCTGGTTAAAGGGGGAGAGCATCATAAGAGTAAAAGTGAGAAAACTCATGGGTTAAGAGAAAGACAGCTTAATAGGTAAAGCAAAAGCTCCACACACAAGCAAAGGAAAAGTAGGAATTCAGTCACTACTTCCCATGGGCAGGTGTTCAGCCACCCCCAAGAGAGCGGGTTACTTGGGAAGACAAACACCATCACTCTGAATGTGCTTCCCTTTTGCCTTTCCCCCTTACCTTTATATGCTGAGCATGACCCCATATGTTATGGGATATCCCTCGGGTCACTTAGGGTTGGCTGTCCTGGCTGTGTTCCCTCCCAGCTCCTTGTGCACCCCCAGGCCCCACTGCTGGGGTGGAGTGAGAGGCAGAAAAGGCCTTGTCTCTGTGTAAGCCCTGTCAGCAATAACAAAAACATCCCTGTGTTATCAACACTATGTCCAGCACAAATCCAAAACACACTTCATGCCAGCTACTGAAGAGAAAAGTAAATCTACTCCAGCCAAAACCAGCACATCCTGGTTCTGTGAGAGAACACAGTTATTAAAAAGGAAGTACAAGGAGGTCCCCTAACCACCATGTCCTCCTAACCAATCCTTTTCCTTTAGCACCCAAGAGAGACACGATCAAAAGTCCACATCTTCACCCAGGAAGGCTGCAAATAAAACCAAATGGGTTTTATTTATTTACCTCAAAATCTCATTTCATATAAGTGTACAGTATACTCATTCCAGATAAACTCCTACACAGCATGAGAGACAGGTTTGCTTGGTGTCAGGCAATTAAACCTTTATCAAGGTTTAAGTTGAAACACCAGGTTACAAATCATTGTCATCAAACATTGCTGGAGGTTATGTTTGCCTGATTCTTTTCTACAGCTTACTATCCATATTTTCTGGAATATACTCTTTTAGATTTGTCAGAGAGTAACACAGAACTTGAATTCAGGTATATGAATGAGTCTTAAAATACTGGAAATAACATTGTGAGCATTCGTTAAAGCTGCTTGTGCCTTCATTTATTGGCTGTTATATTCACTTGAACTTGTGTCATGTTATGGAGAAGTATGCACAGATATAAAGCTGTCAGAGGTGTCACAGCTAACTGTTTTGGACTCCAAAGAACCTAAGGGTCTGTCCTGTCAGCTGGATTGTGCACCTGTAACTGATACCCACCTGCCCAATTTATACATGTTGGGAAGGTGCCCAACATGGAGCTGGGGCGCCTGCCAGGTCACTGATTTCTGACTGTCACAGGCTGAGGTCTGTGAAATTTGACTTTGCTGTGCTACACAATTACTTAAATGCATTACCTGCCCTTTGAAGCAAACAAATCAAATTTGCTGCTGGTGCTGTACACTGTGTTCTACTGGGCACTGTGCCTTTTATTTATTCCAGCCTTATACCATCAAAGCTTTCATTGAAAGAAGATGTAAAATGGAAGGCAACAAACTGTCTGCATTAAGTGACATTTTACTATGCAGGTCATGCTGGATGGAGTCCAGTTTATCTCCTCTCTGTTGCTGAAAATCAGATCGTTTAGAAAGGAGAATATTTGCATGGCTTTATCAAACATTTTGAATGTAGTTCATGCAAAGGTCAAGTGTTCCTATGTGGTCAATAAGTGATAAGCTATGTTTAAAATGCATCAGTTAAAAGACAATCTAAAGGTGTTGCTTTTCCAAAGGATCATGCAGGATTCAGAACATGCTGAACTCAGACAAACAGGTACATCACGACTGGTGTGGGAAGTGCAGGCCAAGCAAAAAAGGGACAAGGTGCCTATGGAGAAGAGGAGGTTTAAATCTTGCAGGAACAACAGCCAACTCCACTCACCTTTCACAGGATATTAATGCTAACCCTAAGGGCTGGCCTCGACTCCCCTGAAAAGAAGAACCAGGGCCTGTGTCTCTCCATGTCTCCTGTGTGCTAGAGTGCTGCTTTTCAGCCTCTGCAGAGGAATCCTGCAGAACAGCTGGGTTTCCTCCTCAGCTTACAGACACTGTGTGTGGAAAGGATGCTCCACTCCAGCTCTGCAGTTTGGACCCGGATGTACAGCAGCATTTTGGAAAAGATGCACTCTAGCATCTCATTGGCTGTTCACACTGTGATTTAGGGTTAACAGCTGTTAAGACAGAAGCAGCACGTACATGTTTTTGATTGTTGCAAGAGCATTAAAAACCAGACCTTGTAAATCTGCAAACACCAGTGGTGTTGGCAACACACCGTGCTCTGTGCAAGGGAGAACTCTGGCCAACCATAGCTGGAGCATGATGATCACAGGGAGGAAGGGAATCAGGGGCCAGAGAAGGGAGAGATTCAACAATTAGATGTGCTCTCACAAAGCATTTTGGCTGGTTCTGTGCGACAGGAAAAACCTTTTTCTTTGCGGCACCAAGTATAAAATATGTTTTTGCTTATTTCAATACATGGATCAAAAAGCATTGGAAAAACAGTCATTTCACAGGGGTGTAGAAAAGGACAAGAAATTAAATACAGACTGGGAGCAACCTGAAACCCAAAATGAGAGAGAGGGAACAAAATCATGCACAGATGCCACTGTGCAAAGTGACTCACCTGAAAGGCAAAAGGCTGAACAGTCCGCAAGAGTCTTAAGGAGCAGAGACCAAAGGCACGTGGAGTCAGGACCCATGAGAACTTGTGAGGGAACACTTCTTTTTACTGAGGTTTTTCCATCTGATAGGATAACCTTACGTGTTTTCATTCAGGACTACAGCTGGGCCAGGCTCACCCAGGGTTAGAATACAGTAGGTGACACTGAATCAGGATGTGCCTACCTGCTCAAAATTACCATTTCCTTAGCTAGGTGCAAAAAACAGGTAGGGTCTGCCACCTCCTGTCACAGTAAAGCCAAGAATTAAGGCCATTCTTCATTTTCATTTTCATCAATATTTACTATCATTTCTTTCAGAACAATTATTTTTAAAATAGCCTTCTGAATTACCCTCCACTTGATTTTGAAAACATTAAATTACATTCCTAAAGATCATCCTAGGTAGTTAATCCTGCTCAGGTGGATTAAGCACAGTGTGACATTTAACAACATAACTATCATACCTCCACCCTGTGAACAAAGCTAAATGCAAATATTATTTCTTTCCTCTCCCTGTATTGAGTTGTCCTGAGAACTAAGCAGGTTTTTCCTTCAAATGCTGACAATAAAATTTGTGTTATTCAATCAGCACAAATGTAGAGTTTTGGAATAATCAGAAATGGAAGAAGATGACAGCAGCAGATATTCTGCAAGTGCAGAATCACAGTACCCCAGATTCCCAGTGCCTGTAATGGGCCTGTACAAAAAGTAAAAGACAGAAAAAGGCAAAGCAGCTCAGATCACACACAAAGTATGTTTCTACATTACATTCTCATGCCAAAACCAAAGATTACACACATCTGAAGTTCCATTCAATGCTGGACATGATTCTGAATGCATCCATCTTCCTGTGGACCCAGTGCCATCCATGCCAAGTCAACATGAGGATTCTCTAAAATTTCCATATGCTATGGGTCAGGACCTGCAAGTTCCCAGGCTCACTTGTAAACATAAGATTTCATGAAATTGTTTGCATTTCAAAATTATGCTTGAGGATTCCATTTTGCATGTGGGCCCTGGTTTTTCTGGCTTTATACAAACATGTAATTTAATTTGAATATTGCTTCAGTTTTGGTCTTACAGAAGTGGCATGGATTTACAACACTGAATGCTTATTATCCTATTCTTATTTGCTCTTAAGATAAAGCAGTAACCCTTTCCATAACAGCAGACAATGGTTGGAGTAACAACTGGTAAGTAAAGATGAGTAGGAAATAAAAAGGAAAAGGAAATAAAAGCTGCTAGTAAGTACAAAAATGCCACAAACTGGGTCACACATGAGATGTCTTCTGCACGATTTCTACTTTGAGGAATTTGTGCTGATTTCTGCCTTCAAACCCATGAATACAAAGTAGCAACTGCTTTCAGAAAGCACTCTCTTTTTCTGTGTCAGTTCTAGAAAAGCCTTTCTCTTGAGAGTTTCTCTTGAGAGTTCTTGTGAGAATGAAAAGCATGGGCAAGCAATAAGCTACTCCTACACATCAGGCTTACCTAAAGAAACAAGTGTGAGAATCTCTTAAAGAATGCTTGTCATCAATTACCTCACTTCACCAGCCCTATTTTCCAAGTCTGCCCCCAGATACCCCAGCACTGCTGGGGCATCCGATGAGGCTCCCACAGGGCTGACGACAAACACCAGGCAAGTGCCCTCCATTCAGATCACTTTAGCACATCTCCCCTGAGCAGCATTTGTTTTCTTGAAGATGCTCAGCTCAGTTCTGCTAAAGGTGCCTTAAATCCCAGATGTCCATAGCAAATAAGGAAGCTAATCCAAATCAGAATGAATACATAACTAGAAAGCTTTGGAGAAGAGCAGGAGATGTTCTTTATGTTAATGATGCTTCCAGGATTCTCCATCATTAATGGCTTTACATTCTTATTGATCCTAAATGCTGAATATGGGGTCAAAGGATAAATTATGTGATGCCCCAGACAGTTGAGATGTAAAACAAAAAATAAAAGAATGCAGACTGTGGAGCTAAGAGATGTGCTTGCTTTCTCTTTTAATGGGGAACCACAAGTCACAAGAATTGTCTTGTGGTGGGGGGTGAAGCGTAGACAAATGAGAAATAAACCCCCCATTCCTCAGGGCTGTTGGATAACACAGCCAATGTGAGCATGGCCAGCTCCTCCACCCCTCCGGGCGCCTCTGCCAGCTCACCACCAAGAGGTGTGTCCTTACTCATCTGCAAAAAAGACTGGCAGGCAGCAAGCTTCCCTCTGAGCTCCGGGCTGCTAGGCAGTAAGGAACTGCACATGACCCAGCAGTGTTGGAAACGAGTACCTTTAATATTGCAAGGCTGGTCTGAGTCCAGCAGGATACTTAATAGCATGGACTGATCTCTAAAGAAGAGTGGTTGCCAAGGAAACCACTTAAAATCCTGCTTTAAAATATTTGCTACATATTCAAAAGCCACAATCATTTCCTGCTGTCAAATTACAACAGCTCTTCAAAAATCAAGAATTAGGAATATTCTTTAATCATCAAGGCAGAAATAGCCACGTGGTTCTTCTCAGCAGGCAGATGACTGAATTCTGATCTGGAATATTATCTTTGTAAAACCGAAGCTATGATACTGAAACAAAATCAGCTGTGCTGCTGTGCAACCATCCTAAAAATCAAATCTTTCATATACAAATAATACAAAGTTATCATGCATGGCATCCTCATATTTTGAAGTATCACAACTTCTAACTTATGATACTTCCTAATAGAATC